CTTGTAGCTGCCGCCACCTCCTGTGGCAGTGAATTCCATGTGTTAATCACTCTTTGGGTGAAGAAGTACTTTCATAGTGTCACAGCAAAAATGAACAGAATTTTCTTCCAGAACAAATTTCTCATGGAGTAGAGCCTGTTTCTTCTGACGCAGGGTGTGGCTCGTCTTTCCCCCCAAACCCAGGCCTCCTCACTCATTTACAGATGTTATCTAGCTTAGAAAAACTAGTGAAAGGTGCCTGTGGTTTTCCTTTATTAGATTTGAATTTCACCCTGCTGCTTGGGTGTTTTGTTTTTGAAATACGGATACATCAAATGACTCTGGGACGAGGAACCACTAGACTGCATCCGAAGAAGGTGCCGCTAGATTCCTGTTTGTTCATGTGGACAAACAGAATAGTGAGAATAAACCAGACTATTTGTGAAAATAGTCCTTAGAGCACAACCCAGCTGAAGCTTTAAGCGCCTCTCTTTGATTTCAGTGGGACAGCTCAGCCCATTCTGAATTTTCTCATTGTAATTTGCAGGATCTAAAAGCGCTTAATCTTTACTGGATTGAACACTTTTCTTAAGCACTCTAAGCCTCTCACATAAATTATGTTAGTAATTTTTGCAGCAATCTTAGGTCATAGCTGTGGTGGCCAGTGGCCACGAGGACTCTGCCGTGTCCAGTTTGCCCTTAGAGGAGGGACTGTTGTTGGATGAAGAAATCCTTCATGGGTTTGGTGTTCTTTCCACACAGTCTTCCAAAACAGTTTTCCAAACTTTTTTTGCCCAAGTTAATAAGGGCTGGACACCCCCCACACACTCCCCGCCGAGAGACTGCTGTGTTAAGTCTGTCACAGAGTCTTGTGGCACCTCAAAGGCCACACAAATTCATCTTGCCCTAGGCTTTCATGCGCCAAAGCCCGCTTCACTGTATATATCTGTAAACTTTTTTTTGACAGTCAGAGTTGTGCAACAGTGGAATGGGCTGCCTAGGGAGGTGTTGAGCTCCCCCTCACTGGCAGTCTTTAAGCAGCCGTGACAAAAATAACGAAGAGTCAATAAAGATAAGTTGCAAAAACATTTACTGTAGTAATTCTATAGAAAATTTTCTTTTATTATCGCTCGCACGCAACGAATACTGTGCAATGTAAACAATTCGTTTCACAATATTTGCTGTATCTGAGCGTGTACTCAGATTGTGAATATTGTGAAACAAATTGTTTACATTGCGCAGTATTCGTTGCGTGTGAGCGATAATAGAAGACATTTTTCTATAGAATTACTACAGTAAATGTCTTAGCAACTTATCCTTATCGACTCTTCGTTATTTTTGTCACAGATGTTGTTTTTGGAATTCCACTTCCTCCCATGATCTCTCATTTTTGGCTTCTAGTCTTTAAGCAGCGGCTGGACAAACACTTGTCAGAATGCTCTAGGCAGATCCTGCGTGGAGCAGGGGGTTGGACTAGATATCCTGTATGACCCCTTCCAACTCTGTGATTCTATGATTCTATATGATGAAATGGGCTATGGATCCTGCAAGTTCCCACCACAGTAAAATCAATGTTTAATGTACTGCAAGGCTTCTTGTTTGTTGGGAAAGAAGGGGAGATTTCCAGGAGTCCAGACTGTGTGCTTTCACTGAACTTATTCTGTGGCCCCACGTTTGCACAGCCTGACAACGGTCGGGTTTGCTGCCTTCTGCCAGCCACACTCATTGCCCACAAAGAAGGAATACCACCTTGGTAGCGGAAACCTGACCTTTTTGTCGTAATTGTAAGACTTTTCTCATTTTCTTGGCGGCAGAGCAAAAAAGCAAAACAGAAGCTTCAGGTCAAATTCCCCCAAAAGAACGCCAGGTACGGAAGTCGACAACAGGAGCCTGTGCGGAACGAGAAGACGGAACGTCAACTCCTCGGGGAGCTCTACGTCGATAAAGCTTTCCTGGAGAAACTGCTCAAGGATGAAGGTTTCTTGCTTACTGCTTTGGCTGGGGTTTTGAGCTTCCGACAATCCAACCCACCTCCTTCACCCCCAACCGCAAACTGGGGATCAATGTTCCCTCTAAGCTGTGGAGTCTTGTGAGCAAAAACTTTACTTTGTGAGCTCCTGCCATTAAAGTTGTGAGCAAGCAATTTGGCTACTGCATAAATTAGTTTGCTCTGGAGCCATCCTTCCTGAGCTACGACAAAAATGTGTGAGCTGGAGGCCAAAAAACTGTGAGCTAGCTCACACTAACTCCGCTTAGAGGGAACCCTGGTGGGGATGTGCAGGTGCTTTCTGAGACGCAGGGTGGGATCCTGCCTTAGGCTGGAAGAGTTTCGTCCAACGGAAGTCGTCTTCCATTGGATGAAGAGCCACTTCAGTGGAAGGAAGTCTTCAAGCCAGATTGGTGTAGTGGTTAATTGCGCGGCCTCTAATGTGGGAGAACCGAGTTTGATTCCCCACTCCTCCACTTGCACCTGGCTGGATGACCTTGGGCAAGCCATAGTTCTGGCACAGCTGTTCTTGAAAAAAGCGGTTTCTGTCAAGAGCTCTCTCAGCCCCACCTACCACACAGGGTGTCTGTTGTGGGGGGGGGGGAGGGGAAGGAGTTTGTAAGCCACTCTGAGACTCCCTTGGGTAGTGAAGGGCGGGGTATAAATCCAATCTCCTCCTCCTCCTTCTAGTGTTGCTTAGTAAAGAGCTAGGGTACAGGTCGACATTTTCAAACAATATTCCTGGTCTTGCTGAGAAACATACTTGAGGATTCCTCAACGAGGAGGTCTCAAATGGCAGACAGGCTCCTTTGACAGAGAGCCCGTTCAGCATATCAGTCTTCCCCTTCAGCATGGAAGCATGACGGGGTGGGGCTCCATACGGGGGGCACATGCTCAGTTCAAGTGGCATGGCGATAAGGCTCAGAAGAAGAAGAAGAGAGGAAGAGAAGAGATTGGATTTATACCCCACCCTTCACTACCCGACGGAGTCTCAGAGCGGCTTACAAACTTCTTCCCCTTCCCCCTCCCCACAACAGACACCCTGTGAGGTAGGTGGGGCTGAAAGAGCTCTCCCGGGAACTGCCCTTGAGAGAACAGCCCTGAGAGAACTTGTGACTGGCCCAAGGTCACACCAGCAGCTGCATGTGGAGGAGTGGGGAATAAAACCCAGTTCTCCCAGATTAGAGTCTGCCCTCCTAACCACAACACCAAACTGGCAGGATGTGGGCAGCGAATCCATTGTACGCCCTAGAGAGGACTGCCAAATCTGGGTTGTGGAATCCCTGGAGACTGGAGTGTGGTTCCCAGGGAGGGCTGAGTTCAGGGAGTAGAAGGAGCTTGGGGGGGGGGAGGATGCGATGGCAGAGAGCGCGCCATCTACGGCTGACGCTGCCTCTGGGGGACCTGATCCCTGTCCGCAGATTGGCTGTCATCCCAGGGAAACTCCAGGTTCAACCTGGAGGTTGGCAGCCTTAGTCCTAGCACACGCCCCAGACTCCTCTGCAACATCTCGAGGTGGTAGTGTTCTCTTGACGCACAAACAAAGATGGAAGGGGCTCCCTGAAGGCCGAAGGTTGGAGGCCCAGCCCTCTCGGGGATTTGAGCAACCTGAAGTGGAGGCTTGTGGTGCTGGAAGGAGCTTAGCTGGCAAAAAGAGGGAGGGGGTGCTGTTGTCAGTGTTCCCTCTAAGCTGTGGAGTCTCGTGAGCAAAAATTTCGCTTTGTGAGCTCCTGGCATCAAAGTTGTGAGCGAGCGATTTGGCCACTGCATAAATTAGTTTGCTCTCCTCCTGAGCTAAGGCAGAAATGTGTGAGCCGGTGGCTAAAGAACTGTGAGCTAGCTCACGCCAACTCAGCTTGGAGGGAACACTGGAACTTGTTGTGTATCTGCGGTTCAGTGTTCTGTTTCGCCAACTGGGCAAAAATGCATTCTGAGCAGGGAGCTCATTAGTATAGACCAAGATGTCGGGGACCGTGGCTGGATGGTCGAGCACGTTCTTCTGGGCCGGTTCTACCTGTTAGGAGAACTGAGATAGTTGAAGAAGTGAAGAAGGAGAAGGTTTTCACGCCCCGCTTTCCTCTACCCTAAGAAGTCTCAAAGCGGCTGACAGTCGCCTTCCCTTCCTCTCCCCGCAGCAGACACCCCGTGAGGCGGGTGGGGCCGAGAGAGTTCTGAGAGAACTGGGGCTGGTCCAAGGTCACCCAGCAGGCTTCATGGGGAGGAGGAGTGGGGACTCAAATCCAGTTCTCCGGATTAGAGCCTGCCAGGGTTGCCAGGTCTTATCTTTGTTGCGGCGGGGGAGTCCCGGCCCCTCTCCGGAGGTGACGTCATCGCGTTGGGGGCGGGGCCACTATAATGTGAGGGGGAAAAATAGAGCCGCTGCGATCCTGGCACTTTGGGGGTGGGGATCCCCCCGGCGGCCGGCACCGGGCCAGCAAGTAAAGGGCCCGTTGAGTGGGCAAACCCCTGCCCTCCCAGGGGGCCTGGCAACCCTAGAGCCTGCTGGTCTTAACCACTGCACCATGCTGGCAGCAGTCTCCTGTCCTGCCCACCTGTTGCCTCTGCCTGGAAGCTAGAACAGTGAATGGTTCTTGCCTGCCCTGCCCTGGATAGCCCAGGCCAGCCCGATCTCATCAGATCTTGGAAGCTAAGCGAGGTTGACTCTGGCAAGAACGTGGAGGGGAGACCTCCTTGGAATATCAGAGGCGGGAGGCAGGGGCAGGCTTTATTCAGCCACTTCTCTGAATACCCTCCAGGCCCCCAGTAGGGGTCAGTCACCAGAAGTCACCATGACTCCCAGGTGCACTCACAGTCATACACTGTCACACACACATAAAGAATACCAACCCCCCAAACCCCCCCCCCCCGCTTCTTGCCTGTTCTCTTCTTTTAAAAACAGACATGCATGCCCTGAAAGGCTTCCAAAACCCTCTGCAGGGCAGCCGAAATGAGAGCTGAACTCTCTCAAGCAGGGGTCATTTCCTACAGGAGCGGAGCTCCGGCAGTAAAGAGCCCAGGGGGCGGGCACATGCAACAAGCCCCACCCCCTGCTCCCAGCAGCCCTCAGTCAGAGCAAGAAGCATCCAGGTAAGTTGCAGAGACACCTCCCTGGCCCCGCGGTCCAAAACAGTCCAGTGGCACCTTTAAGACCAAGTTTTATTCAGGTACAAGCTCTCCCTCCTCTGCAAGGACAGATCTGCATGTTCTCCCCTGCCAATAGCTAGCAATCAAAAACAGTCTAGTGGAGCCTGAGCGGTGGGTGTTGCCTTCTGACACACTTCCGGTGAAGTCAGGGGGTGTGGCATATGCTAATGAGTTATGCTGATGAGCTCCTGCACCTCTTTTTCTACGAAATGGCCCCTGCTCTCAAGAGTTTGGAAACACCTTAAAGAGGGCCTGGGAAGAGGGCAAGGAGGATTAGCCGTTCTAGCTCTGGCGGAGGTGGGCAAGGGCCTTAGTTGGCAAAACATCTTCAGCTGGCACTGATGCCCTGGGTGTGTGGACAACCCCAAGTTCAGTCTTGGGCATCTCTCGTGAAAAGAATTTCAGGTTAGCGGGACTGGGGAAGACTGTTAGGCAGGACCTTGGCGAGCGGCTGCCAGTCAAAGCTCGGAGGACCTCTGGTCTGACTCCACATCACGCAGAGGACCAGAAACGGAGTTTTCCACCCAATGCGAAGTTGTTCTGGGCAGTCTTCCCTTCGTCTAGCTTGTGCTGCTATACAGAAGCCTTGTGCCTGATGGACCGTTCTGGGCCACTTTAAATCCCTCCCCAATGCCTTTTGCAGTGCTAAAAGAGTGACCCCCCGCCCAGATGTTTGCATGGCTGTTCTGAAAAGGCCCGCAGGGCAGACATAAGGATGCCATCACATCTAGGTTGGCCCCGTTTTCACCTGACTGGCTGTCTGTTTTCTTGAGCAAACGCTTGCTGATACGATGCCAGCAGTGCAAACGGCACTATAGCAACACCTACTGACTAATTGTAGGAGCTGCAGTGGCTCAAGTGGTTAAGACGCTGAACTGCAGGCTGTGGAAGGTCGGTAGTTCAGCAGTTCGAGACCCAGGTGCCGCATGACGGAGTGAGCTCCCGTCTCTAGTTCCAGCTCCTGCCAACCTAGCAGTTCGAAAGCAAGAAATTGCAAGTAGATAAATAGGTACTACTTCAGTGAGAAGGTAACAGTGTTCCGTGCGCCTTGGCGTTTAGTCATGCCGGCCACATGACCACGGAAACGTCTTTGGACAGCGCTGGCTCTTTGGCTTGGAAACGGAGATGAGCACCGCAACCCTAGAGTCGGATTCGACTGGCTTTCGAGCAAGGGAACCTTTACCTTTTTTACTGACTAATCAGATGGGTTACAGGAAGATAGATCCAGGTGGTCAGCCGTGCTGGTCTGAAGCACTAGACCAAATATAGAGTCCCGTGGGGCACCTTTGAGACCAACGAAGGTTTATTCAAGGTCTGAGCTTTCGTGTGCACGCCTACTTTTTTCAAATGCACGTGAAAGCTCATACCTTGAATAAACCTTCGTTGGTCTTAAAGGTGCCCCACGGGACTCTAAATGCGTATACAGGAAGGTTAATGCTAAGCGAACCACATCTGTCGAGCGGTGACCTCTCCCTCCCTTTCCCTTCCTTTTGCCGCTTGTCCCCTCTGCAGACTTGACCAAAAGCACCACAAAGCAAGGAGTCACCGTTGGGGCTATGATCCAGGAAGGCCTTTCCTACCTGGACACGCGCACCGACTTCTGGCAGCAGCAGAAGCCCATCTACGCCCGGATCAGAGACCGCAAGCTCGTGCTGAAGAGGTGGACTCGGGAACAAAAGCGGAAGCCCTCGGAGGTGGCCCGATACATCCTCAAGAGCATGGAGGAGATCGATATGCGTGGGTACCTGAGCTGCCCAAGTGCGGCTAGGGGAGCTTTGTTACTGGGCGAAATTAATTATACTGATTTCCTTCATTACTGCCTCCCCTTTCTCCCCACGGAAAGCCAAAGTGGCTCATGCCGGTCTCCCCTCCGTTATATCCTCCCCACAACCGTGGGTCCGATTGAATCCTGTCATTCTAGGCAGAGTAGGGGGTGCACCGAGGAAGAGGAAGCAATCTCGACCTGCTCCCACCCCATACCAAACAAAGTTACGTCACCTGGAGGTAGGGTTGCCAGGTCCTGTGCACTGGGAGGGGATGGGGGGGGCACAGTGTTCCCTCTAAGCTGAATTCATGTGAGCTAGCTCACAGTTTTTTTAGCCTCTGGCTCACATTTTTTTCTCCACTCAGGAAGGGATGGCTCCAGAGCAAACTAATTTATGCAGCAGCCAAATCACCAGCTCACAACTGAAATGCCAGGAGCTTCGGGGGGCGGACTTCCCCCCAGGGCACGATTCCGCGGCGGCGGAAATCGGGCCTCTGAGGTGGGGGTTTACCCGCCCCCCGCCCCCACACGGATTCCCCCACACGGCAGCCCTGGGGGGGATCCCCAGGTCCCACCTGGAGGCTGGCACCTCTAACTGTGGACCAGAGGTGGCGCCTCCTATCCACCTGCAGGCAGATCAGAAGACACGGCAGGAATTGCTTTGCAGGGTCAACTAAGGGCTTACTAAGGCCTACCAGCCGATGTCCAGAGACAGGGCCCGATGTGCAGGCAAGGACATGTGCTCTTCTTTGCCTCCAACAATGGGGTAATGAGGGATCGTTTAGGAAAGACTTGTCCAAGTCTGGGAAGCCCCATCCCGTTAGGGGCGCTCGGGAGTCACATGAGCACTCTCCTAAGGACTGTTCCCCCCCCCCCCAGTGCTGACAAGCGGCTGTCCCGAGCGGAGCTGCCACAAGGCCGAACAAGTGCTGAAAAAGATCCAGGGCTGGTCTGACGATGAGATCCCAAACAGAAGCGAGCTGCTGGGAAACCTCTACAGCTGCATCGGGAATGCCCAGATTGAGATGGGGCACATGGGGGCAGCGCTGCAGAGCCACCGGCTGGATCTGGACATCGCCAGGGAAAAGTAAGAATGGAGCCGACCCCCCCCACTCTTCTTCTTCTTCTCCTCCTCCTCCTCCTCCTGCCATCAAGTCCCAGCTGCCTTATGAGCCCTGTAGGGTTCTTGAGGCAAGAGCCGTTCCGAGGTGGCTTGCCATTGCCTGCCTCCGCGTCACAACCCTGGTAATCCTTGGAGGTCTTCATCCAAATACTCGCCAGGGCCCTACCCTGCTTAGCTTCTGAGATCTGACAAAACCAGGCTATCCTCTTCTTCTTACGCCTGTTGAAAGTACCCAGTTCTGTGCTGGTGGTGTGGAGCTGTGGTTGTTGAGAAGGAAACAGCAGAGGCAGGTGTCTGGTGGCTTCTCCAGATAGATGGAGGGACCCAAGCGGGACCTCCTGTGGTTGGAAAGGACACCTATGTCCTTCACAGCTCCTCCTCCTCCCTGCATCTGACAAAGAGGACTATGTTTCTCAAAAGCTTTATGCTACAATAAAGTTTGTTAGTCTTAAAGGTGCCACTGGGCTTCTTACTATTTTGCAGCCACAGACTAACACGGCTAACTCCTCCAGACCTTCTCCCTGCAGAACCCCTGGCTGAATTTTAGATGGAAAGCCCCTTAGCACAAGGACTGTAAAAAGCACCATGTATGTTGAGAACATTATAGAAATCAATCAGTCCATGTTTGGGACTCAGGCCAGGAGCTCCAGGTTCACAGAAATCCCAAAGAGATGATACGCAAGATCCAAGTTTGCTTACAAGGAGATTTTAATAAGCAATGATCATTGTTAGTCCCTTGTTAATATGTGTAACTGTAAATCGCTCAGAGCCAGCAGCTCTGCAGGATTGAGTGATTAATAAATCAAAACTTATTATTATTATTATTATTATTATTATTATTATTATTATTATTTAGTGTACGGAAATCGCTCCCATCCACTGGGTCTTGAACGCGCACACACACAGAGCAAAACGTAGCCAGACCTCGAGACAAGATGCACAGCTAAAACTAAGCATCTTATACCTTAATGACTGGCTATGAGTCAAGAAACCATTAACCAAACTATCCCAAACATTGAGCTGAGCCAGGCCATCCTGCAGCTGGTGCCGAGCGGTGAGGGAAAACAAATCAGGCTTTTGCAGATAAGGGCTGATAACAAGCCCTCCCCTCACAAAACTCAAGGCAACTACAAGGTTATTAGCATCAGCCTGCTTGGTGTAGTGGTTAAGTGCGCGGACTCTAATCTGGGAGAACCGGGTTTGATTCCCCACTCCTCCACTTGCACCACTCCACTTGACCTTGGGCAAGCCATAGTTCTGATAAGAGCTGTTCTTGAAAAAGAGCAGTTTCTGTCAGAGCTCTCTCAGCCCCACTGACCTCACAGGGTGTCTGTTGTGGGGAGGGGAAGGGAAAGGAGTTTGTAAGCCGCTCTGAGACTCCTTTGGGTAGTGAAGGGCGGCGTATAAATCCAATCTCTTCTCTTCTTCTAACAAAGATGGAGTCACCAAGGCTATGGAATCCATCCATGTGGGTGGTGTGCAGGAGTCGGGGAAGGAAGGAAGGCAGGTGGGGGAAAGGCCTTCCAGGGTATTCTGAATCTGACAGTCCAACTTCTAACCTCCTGCCTTTTGTTTCTGTCACAGCAACCTGACCGACACCATCTCCAGGGCCCTGGACAATATCGGCAGGGTGTACGCCCGCATGGGTAGTTTCCAGGAAGCCATCGACACGTACGTAGAAGCCGCGGCCATGAGGAATCCCCCCCCCCCGGCAAAGGCCGTCTTGCTTTTCTTAAGAGATACCGCTGCATCTGATAGCAAACTTGCTGGTCCTGGTGCCAGTCTGGAAAACAGCAAAACCCGGCCCACCACAAGTCAAGTAGCGGTCTCAACATAGACTCCCTAGAAAAACGTCACTGTAAATTAGTTGAAAGGAAAACACCTTTGATAAAGAGCAAGAGTCCTGTAGCACCCGGAAGATGAACAAGATTTGTGCCAGGGTACGAGCTTTCATTATCTCCAAGTGGCGAAATTGCTGCTTGGAGTTCAGGGAAGGCATGTGGCCAGCAGCCGCCCATCTCCCTGCCCTCCTGAAAGATTTAAGGGCCTGCTCATCCGCTGGAGGACCCTTTAAATCTTGGAGGGGGGCGGCTGCAAGATTTAAAGGGCCCTCCAGCTGATTGGCGGGCCACGTGCTCCCGCCGATCAGCTGGAGAGCTCTTTTAACGTCATAGGAGGGGAGTAGGGGCAGAGGGGCAGCAGCTGTTGTTGGGCCCACCTTATGTTTGAGGGGGGGCAGAGCCCCAGAATGCCCCACCATCGCTACAGGCCTGGTCCATAGCCAGAGAACAGCCTGTTTTTCCCCTAGTGGTGCTGCCAGATATGACTGACGGGGCTGGGTGGTCCGCATACAGGGTTAGGGTGGGGTTAAGGAGGGACAGACAGAAGATGTTTGGTCTTCAGGGTGTCTGGGGGAATCTGCCCCCCAAAGAAGTCTTTAAGAGTTCTTTTTTTTCCCTTCCCCTTTGCAAAGGTGGGAAGAGAAGATTCCACTTGCAAAGAGCAACCTGGAGAAGACTTGGCTGTTCCATGAAATCGGCAGGTGCTACCTGGAGATCGACAAAGCAGCAGAGGCGCGGGGCTACGGGGAGAGATCCTTGGCCTGCGCAGAGGAGGAGGGAGACATCGAGTGGCAGCTGAATGCTGGCGTCTTGGTGGCACAAGCACAAGGTGGGGCCCTCTGCCCCTAGACGGCTTGCTTCTGAGGTTCTGTTTGTCCCCACCACTGGTGGTTGGGAGGCATCCTCTCACCATACGGGAGTCCATGTCCACTTGTTGACCACAAGTGCAGGGTTGCCTCGTTACAGAGCTGCCGTGCATGCTTGCACCTGTTGACCTGCTGTCTGTTGAGCACAGGAACCTCTGTGAGGAAAGACGCTGGCAACCGTGTTGTTCACTTTCGCTTTGCAAGGGCGGACAGGACCGATCCAAGGGAACCCCCTGGGGTGGGAAACACTCCGGAGGCACCTGCCTTAGCAGCCAGTTGGTTAGTGAGAGATCCCTTCCATTCCCTGGAACACAACCAGTGTTCCCTCTAAGCTGAGTTAGTGTGAGCTAGCTCACAGTTTTTTAGCCTCCAGCGCGGACATTTTTGTCTTCACTCAGGAAGGATGGCTCCAGAGCAAACTAATTTATGCAGCAGCCAAATCGCTCGCTCACAATTTGAATGCCAGTAGCTCACAAAGTAGAATTTTTGCTCACAAGACTCCACAGCTTAGAGGGAGTGTTGTCACGGCTCAGGCGGGGTGTCACTTGACGCTGCCACCACTCTAGTTTTAGGATCCCTTGAGAAGGCCCAGAGCACCCTCCCAAGACCTTCAGACCTCCCTTGTTTGGCCGAATAATAAGCATGAGGACCAGGCAGAATAAACAACAATAAAAGGTTTATTTTTACAGGAGGTCAGCCCAATATGGGAAACAAACAAGGTGCAAGAACAATATCAGTAAGGGGGTGAAAAGAAAAGAAACCAAATGCCCTAACGCATCTAGACTTAGTGTCCCTAGCTCACTGTCTCAAGTGGGCCTCAGTCTGCTCCCCCTTCGTCTAGGGTTGCCAAGTCATGGCGGGGGATCGTAGGTCTTCACAGAATCCTTGCCGCGGGGACAGCGAGACGCGTTGCACCCACTGTCGCCAGCATCTGATGCTACGCGTTGCTCTGGCAACAGGGCTCCAAACAGCCCCGTTGCCAGAGCGACGCATAGCATCATGTCCTGGCGACGACGGTGCAATGCGTCTCGCCGTCCCCGCGGCAAGGATTCTGCAAAGACATGCAGATCCCCCGCCGTGATTTGGCGAGATTTGGCAGGCCTATCTTCGTCTCAGGATGAGGGTCTCTTCCCTGCAGCAGCCTTCCCTCTGGCCCTGCTCTCCTGGAAGAAAGAACAGCTCTTTTTCTGTACCAGCTCTTTTATTATAAGTCCCCTTTCTCTGTGATTGGCTAAAATTGGCGCCAAAACCTCTCAGGGGCTTCTGGGAGTTGTAGGCCTGGCCTCCTCCCACTGCTACACAGGCTCCCTGGGCCAGCTAGGCCTTGTTTGCACAGCCCAGATCATGACAAACCCAAAGCCTCTGATCTCCCCTGGTCAGTCCAGAACAGTCCTCATTTGTAAAGAGGAAACAGTGAAGAGGTCAGAGGAAGCGCAAGTGGCAAGAGGTAGGATCCCAGTCAACTCCTCATCTCCTCCTGTGCTATTTTCATGCTGTTCAGCGTACAGTAAGAGTCGTGGACGGGAGGGGGGTTGGTTTGAATCCTCCTGGGATGACGGCGACAGAAAAAAAACCCAGCCTTGTCTACAAAACCAGGTATCCGAGTCAGAATTTGCCATACCGAGAACATCAGCCTTGTTCGGTTTCCAACCATTATGATTGAAGATACGCATTTTTTTTCCCTCCTTGGCAAAGCAGCTATCCTTAAATTGATGGGGGATTTGAGAAAGGTGCGTGATGTTCACAGCTGATGGTAGAAGAGCTGGGTATACTCTGCCCTGAGGAAACCGCACTCGAGATAAGTTGTGTACCCTGGAAATGGGCATCGGTTTGATATTGGCACAAACCTACTAAATGCAATTCACTTGGATAGTTAACTGTGGAGTTTCGTGGCATTTGGAACATTTTAGCAAGGAGAGAAGCGGTAGAGAGCAAGGGAGTAGTAGTAGTAGTAGTATGTTTACTATGGCATCGCGCCAAACATTAACCAAGACATGTTTGGATATAAAATTATAAAATATCTGGGTAAAATGCAATAAATATATATAAGGCCATAAAATGTATTACGAATCCAGTAAGAAATATAAAAGGGCAAAAACAATTTTTTACATTTATCCGTGCATTTCTAATGCGATAGCATGCCGCCCAAAATTTAGCCACAGATTCAGTAATAATTGGACTTTCATCGGAGAGAGCAAGGGAGGCAGAGAAGCAGGTATGGAAGGAGGGGCACAGAATCATAGAGTTGGAAGGGACCTTGAGGGTCATCTAGTCCAACCCCCTGCACAAGGCAGGAAATTCACAAATACCCCCCCCACGCCCCCAGTTGGTGGTGGCCTCCGAAGTGACCGTATCCTCTTAGTGTCTGACAACCTGGCAGTCCGTGCCCCGGTGTGGACAGACGGCTTGCTTCCCGCTCACCCCAAGTCCCAACATAGCTGACAAGAGCCCAGAGCCTTCCTCTCTGCCACTGGTTACTTCAGGGAGCTCCTATAACGGTCGAGCAAGCGATCCTGTGGGTGGAGGCTTTTCTCCGAAAACCTGTATCTGGAGGTAAAGGTTTTCCTTTTCTTTTTTTTCTTTTTTTCTCCAACTGACAACGATTGACTCCCAGTGAAACTGGAGGACTACCAGTCGGCGGTCCTGTACTTTGAGAAGGCCCTGGAGAAGGCGAAGCGCATCCACAACGACGTGGCTCAGCAGGCCATCATCATCGTAAGCCATCGGCCGGAACCCGGAAGGGGGAGGGGGAGGGTGACGTGGGGCAGGAGGAGTGGGACGCAAGCCTGTCGCTGGCTTTGGGAAGCTCTCAGAGCCCGTCATGCGGGCCCAAAGCAGGGGTTGCAACCCCAGTGGGCTGGCCGAGGTGCTGGTGCAGGACTTCCCTGTCTGCTGTAGGTTCCGAGCCCTCAGGCTGAAGGTGAAACAGCACCCAAAGAGGGACAAACCATTGGGGAGGGAGGAGGGTGATCCTTCAGGCCTCCCTGCCTTGTTTCTGGCCCTCCCCAAAGCACTGGAAACAGGATGCCGGACTAGATGCCGTTCCACCAGCTGCCTTTGCATCGGGTCTTCAGTTCTCTAAGGAGACCCACATTCAATCCCACAAATGGAGACCCAGTTTGCTGAGGGGGTTAGGAGTGCAGACTCTAATCTGGGAGAACCAGGTTTGAGTCCCCACTCCTCCACGTGCAGCTGCTGGCGTGACCTTGGGTCAGTCACAAGTTCTCTCACGAGCAGTTCTCAAGAGAGCTCTCTCAGGCCCACCTACCTCACAAGGTGTCTGTTGCGGGGAGGGGAAGGGAGAGGAGATTGTAAGCCGCTCCGAGACTCCTTCAGGTAGTGAAGGATGGGGTATAAATCCAATCTCTTCTGCTGCTGCTGCTGCTGCTGCTGCCGCCGCCCCTTATTGTACTCCAGTGCTGTGATTAAATAACAGACTCACACAGTCCTCCCTGGCTTCAGTTTATTGATTCATCGATTCAGCCATCTAGGTGGCGTCCGCCAGGACACCCTTCCCTCAGGTGTCCCCATCCCTTGGCGGCATCCCTCCCCTCAGCCTGCTGGGAAACCGCGCGGCTCGCCGCCGCTTCTGTCGCCTGCTGAAAAGTCGCAGGTTTGCTCCACCAGACATTGCCCTCCTCCTCCACCGCGCTGCCCCCTTTTCAAACCCAAGAACAAGGAGGGTTCCACCCCCTCTTCACACACACCAGGCCTTCCTCTCTTAAGAGGAAACAGGGCGGCCTCGCCTTGTGCCAGCTGCACTGCAGACACCCGGGGTTCTTAAGAGGCGGGGCACAGCTTCTCCCGGGGGCGTCCCAGCATCCCGGCCTGTCCCTGCTAGCAAGAAGGCCTGCCCGGGGCTCCCCACTCAGGACCCTTTTGCCTGTCTGCAGGCCCTGGACGAAGCCAACAAAGGGTTCATCAAGGACCTGAAAGAAGAACGGCGCCTGGAGAGGCTGCGCGAACTGAGAGGTTGGTTGACGCGTCCCCGTCCCCCCCCCCAGCGGTGCCCAGAAGGCCCCGAGGCCCGGCTTTCTCCGCAGGGGGCAAGCAGGCGGCCTTGTGGAGTGGCCGGCGGGTGGGGGGAAGGGTAGCCGGCTCCAGCCCCCGCTGACTGAAACGATGAGCAGTCGGGTCCTCCTTGAGCAGTTGGGTCTGGTAGCCCTGGTAGTGGTTAAGTGTGCGGACTCTAATCTGGGGAGAACCGGGTTTGATTCCCCACTCCTCCACTTGCACCTGGCTGGATGACCTTGGGCAAGCTGTAGTTCTGTCCGAGCTGTTCTTGAAAAAGGAGCAGTTTCTGTCAAGAGCTCTCTCAGCCCCACCTACCTAACAGGGTGTCTGTGGTGGGGAGGGGGAGGGAAAGGCGTTTGTAAGCCGCTCTGAGACACCTTTGGGTAGTGAACGGCGGAGTATAAATCCAATCTCTTCTCTTCTTCTAAATAGATGGGCTATATAAAACAATTTAGAATAGATAATGACAGGTTAAAACGAGTATTGTTAAAAATCTGTGGTACTGCATAGAATACCTTTGAGAATTTTACAGGCAGCTGCAAAAAACCTTGCACAAGAAGTCTGTAGCCTGCCATCTGAGGCCCCTAAGATGCTTCCTTGAAAACTCAGAGCAACCTTCTGTGCAGAACCTCCTGTGCAGAAGGGTGGGGGGGAGGCTGGAGAGTAGGTGGGAGTTGTCCGGAAAGCCACAGGAAAACCAGAGGAGGATAGAAAGCCACAGTTTGAGGAGGTCCATGGGAGGGGGTGCTTGCTGGGTTGAAGAGATATGCAAACGTGACAGATGATGGCAAAGAGACTGGTGGCGATGGGGTTGGAGCCACGTATCTCCCACAGTGGGCAGAGGGCCGTGAGGCCCCACAAGGGGCTGGGCAAGCCCCTAGGTCCCTAGGAGGACAGAAAGTCCTTGTGGGGCCTCACGGCCCTCTACCCACTGTGGGAGATACGTGGCTCCAACCCCATCGCCACCAGTCTCTTTGCCATCATCTGTCACGTTTGCATATCTCTTCAACCCAGCAAGTCCCCCCCCCTCCCCGTGGACCTCCTCAAACTGTGGCTCTGGCCCAGTTGGCAAAGGAGGATGAGATGAACGAACACACACAGTTGCTTGGGGTTCATCATGGGGCTAGTTGTACCCTTTGTGTGATTTTTTTGGTTTTTTCCCAAAAAACATCTGGTTGGGCACTATAGGAGATGGAATGCCGGAATAGATGAATGCCAGGGTGGGCAGCAAAATGCCTCGGGCCAGCCCTGGATGGGTCACCGTACCAAGTAAATTTGGACTTGTGGGTCACCGTACCAAAAGGTTTGGGAACCAAGGATCTCTCTGACCGGCCAACAGTGATGTCAACATCTTGACATGCTGTAACAAGGTTTGCCTGTAGGTGGCAGCATTCTTTTACTTTTCCTCTTCTCCTTGAGTAGGGTGGACCAGTGTAACAGCTTCTAAATTAGCACTGACCAAATCAACGCGAAGCATGGTGCAGTCTTTCACGCTCCCCAGAGCTCTCCGTCAGACTGGATGTCCCAAAGTTCAGAACGATAAAAGGTGGAAAGCAGTTTCTTCAGGCCGTGGTGTCCAGCATGGTCTTGCATCCATTGTCAGAGGGACACTTCTGCCAGTTTTGCTCTTTACTAACTGTAAATTCTTAGTGATTTATGTGGCTTCAGAATAGAAGCTTTAAATCCCTTTGGAGGTGGAGGATGTAGGTTTTAGTGCCTTGAATGTCTCATGAAGAGCCTTTATCTCAAGGGTCAAAAACCCAAAGGTTGCAATTCTGCCCCCATCCCGAGCACTTTCAGAGAGCACTCCTTGCATTACACAGGACAGAGCAGATGGCTTCCAGCCATACTTCTGCAGAAGGCCGAAAAGCAGCAGCACACGGGCCCTTCTGCAGAAAGCCTCTAATGGGGTGTCAGCCCCACCCGCGGAGTCTGCCCGTAGACTTAGCCGCAGACTCAGCAAGTTGCTCTCTCTCTCTCAGCCTTGGTCACCAGAGGTCATTTGGGGGGGATCGCGGGGGATCGCAGTTCCCCTGGGTGAGGTACAGGGGGCGGGGCACATGACGAAGCCCTGCCCCGCTTCCGGCCCTCATTCAGCCAGGAGGAGGCAGGAGAAGAGGGAGGGTAAGTTGCTTCCTCCCTGCCTCTCCCCACCCCTGCCTGCCTGGGGCCAGGGAGGGCCTTCGCGGGGCTTCCTTGCACTCCCGCCGGCCATGCAGGTCCACCGCCGGGCCCCTCATGGGGCTCGGCAGTGGAGCTGCAAGGCCGGCGGTGGCGGCCGGGACCATTGGGGGCGGGGTGTGTGGCCTTCTGACACACTTCCAGTGATGTCAGGGGGTGTGGCCTTATGACACACTTCCGGTGATATCAGGGGGTGTGGCATATGCTAATGAGTTATGCTAATGAGTCCCCCTAGCTCTTTTTCTACTAAACGACCCCCTGGGTGTCACCATCAGTGAAATGGGACCAGGAATAAAGAGAAGGCTTCAAAGAGGTTCTCTTCTGAATTCCCCTTTCCTCCCCAGAGTTTGAAGAGGAGGAGGAGGAAGAGGAGGAGGAGGAGGAAGGTGAGGAAAGCTCTGCCCGGGATGCCGTGGAAGAAGAAACTGGCCCAAAGCGGGAGGCCACGGTAGAAAAACAAGAAGAGGAAGCTCCTGAGACGACCACGGCCCAAGGAGAAAACCAGGTCGCAGACACAGAGGGACCGGAGCAAGACAGGTCTGAGGCGGGGGCAATGGATGATGTGGAGAGAGAAGCCGAGGACGAGAGAGGAGAAACGGGGGGGCAGCCCGAAAGAACAGCAGAAGAAGAGAAGGCTCGTGAAGGCTGAGCCAGGACGTTCCAGGATAAGGCACTTTGGAAGCTCTTGGCCTGTATGAGTTTCTTCTTCTAGGGTTGGCCAGTTTCCTCCCATAACACCTTCTCTGTGAGCTGCTCCTGGTGCCTTGTGGGCCTTTCCCCCAAACAACCATTTGGCTTTTTGGGTATGTTCTAAGTAGATCCCAAGAAGGTAGGGGATTCTGTTGCTTCAGGTAAGATGTCCCTGAACTCCCCAGTTTGTCTAAGCAAGCAGATCAAAGCAACCATTAAAGATCTTTCTTGATATATTGTAATATGTCCTTCTTCCCCCCCCCCCCACTAACCAGCCAGATCGATTTAGACTGAGCTTACTTGCCAGCCAGCGAGTGGATAGCACAGATTTCCACATCAGTCACCTGCCTTGATTTATATCAGAGGAGCAACTAACATCCTCTTGTTTCTGCCTCGGGGTCTCAAGATTCATGCGTCAATGCATATCCATAGACTCCTGCCTTTCATTTAATGACGGGAAATATGTAATGTTTAAACTCTTAAGTAAACAAGGGCTTTGCATACTTTTAAATACTAAATTTAAATTTCAGAATCCGAGTTTCCCACAAGGAAAAGACCGATCCACACAGGGCTACAGTCAAGCTTGCTGTTGCCCTTGGGGAAGCAGCAGGAGGTGGAAAAGGGGTTTGAGATCTCAGTGACGGCACATCTAGGCGCAGGTCTATTTTTTGTCCAGTCTGTTTCTTTGTGGGTAAGAGTAGAGCAATTGCATCCATGCAGAAATGCAAGAACCGCATGCATGAAGCAGCCTCTAGATGCAGTGCACCGTTTCCTCCTTAGGATTTCATAGATTTGTCCAGGAATTCTTTTTTAACACTGCCCATTTCACTCCCCAGATAATAACTTTCAAGGTTTCAGAATCCTGGTTCCACTAGCAAGATACTTTATGTTTGTTGTGGGATGGATACTACTGGCAGATAAGTTCTTCTCTTTGACGCATGGTCAATACCACTTGTATTGACCCACTTGTACACAAGAATGAGGGGGGGAAGACCAGATGTTACAGTGCTAAGGAAGGGAACTTTAAGGGACTGACAGAACGCGTCCCCCCCCCCCCCCGCCGGTGGTTCAGTCCATGGAATCTGGGGCAGAGTGTGCTTCTTGCAGCCAGAGTGGACATAAAGAGTGCCTGTCTTGCATCAGACTCATGGTCCCTCTACAGAGCGGCCAGCGAAATGCTCCCAGAAAACCTACAAGAAGGGCACGGGCACCAAAGCCTCCTCGTCGTCCCTCAGCACTGATATTCAAAGAGTTACTGCCTCTGGGAAAGGAGGCTCCATTTAGCCATCATGGCTAGTAGCCATCGATGGACCCCTTTCCATAAACGTCCCCTTTTAAAGTTCTGTTCATGCAGAACTAGGTGTGCTGGTATGACTGCCCCGTCACGTACAAGCTGACTCTCCCTACCCTGATAGTTTACTGTCTGGTACAAAGGATGCACTGCTGTACCCAGTCTTGTCCGGTCTGCTGAAGCTGAAGAGGGTCAGCCCCGGTTAGCATTTGGGTGGGAGACCACCAGGGAAGTCCAGGGTCTCCATGCAGAGACAGGCCATGGCAACTCCTACACCACTTTTATTATGGATTCAGGTGGGGCAGCCGTGTTGGTCCGAAGCAGCAGAACAACGTTTGAGTCCACGGGCACCTTTAAGGCCAACAACGTTTTCTTCCGGGCAGAGGTCATTTCGGGGGAGATCGCGGGGGATCGCAGTTCCCCTGGGTGAGGTACGGGGGGGCGGGGCACATGATGAAGCCCCGCCCCGCTTCCGGCCCTCATTCAGCCAGGAGGAGGCAGGAGAAGAGGGAGGGTAAGTTGCTTCCTCCCTGCCTCCCCCCACCCCTGTCTGGAGCCAGGGAGGGCCTTTGCGGGGCTTCCTTGCACTCCTGCCGGCCTTGCAGGTCCACCGCCGGGCCCCTCATGGGGCTCGGCAGTGGAGCTGCAAGGCCGGCGGTGGAGGCCGGGACCGTTGGGGGCGGGGTGTGTGGCCTTATGACACACTTCCGGTGATGTCAGGGTGTGTGGCATATGCTAATGAGTTATGCTAATGAGTTCCCCTAGCTCTTTTTCTACGAAACGACCCCTGATTCCGGGTATAAGCTTTTGTGTGACCTTAAAGGTGCCGCTGGACTCAAAACTTTTATTACACTGTGTGCAATGCTCCCTCTAAGCTGTGGGGTCTTTTGAGCAAAAACTCTCCTTTGTGAGCTACCGGCATTAACGTTGTGAGCGAGCGATTTGGCTCCTGCAGAATTTAGTTTGCTCTGGAGCCATCCTTCCACAGCTAAGGCAGAAATGTGTGAGCCGGAGGCTAAAAAACTGTGAGCTAGCTCACACTATCTCAGCTGAGAGGGAACACTGACTGTGTGCTAATTTGCGGCTACTCACAGGTCTTACCAATTCCCGTCATCCAGGCTTAGCTGTATTTGCTGTGCGGTTACTTCTGCTGCAGTGGCTCAAGTGGTTAAGACACTGAACTGCAGGCTGTGGAAGGTCGGTAGTTCAGCGGTTCGAGACCCGAGTGTGCCGCATGACGGAGTGAGCTCCCGTCTCTAGTTCCAGCTCCTGCCAACCTAGCAGTTCGAAAGCAAGAAATCGCCAGTAGATAAATAGATACCACTTCGGTGGGAAGGTAACAGCGTTCCGTGCGCCTTGGTGTTTAGTCATGCCGGCCACATGACCACGGAAATGTCTTCGGACAGCGTGGCTCCTCGGCTTGGAAACGGAGATGAGCACCGCAACCCTAGAGTCGGATTCAACTGGTTTTCGAGCAAGGGAACCTTTACCTTTTTACCTTTACTTCTGCACCTTTAATTAGCCCTTCCTGGTTACAGTCTCCCCACCCTCCCCCTATCTGTAACGGTTGGTGGCTTCTGTTGCAGGGTGTCGGAAGAAGGGTACCTGCACATGAAAGCTCATGCCCAGAAGAAAACTTGGTTGGTCTTAGAGGTGCCCCGGGGCTCAACCTTTGTTCCGCTGCTTCAGACCAACACGGCTACCCCCACCTGAACTTTAGGGCTGCCAGCTCCCCCCTTGCCAGGGATGGGGGGGTGCAGGGTTGCCAGATCCAGGTTGGGGAACTCTTGGATGTTTGGGGGTGGAGCCTGGGGAGGACAGGGATCTCAGTGGGCTAGGTGGCGGACTCTAATCTGGGCGAACCAGGATGGATTCCCCACTCCTCCACATGCAGCTACTGGTGTGACCTTGGGTCAGTTACAAGTTTTTTCAGAGCTGTTCTCTCAAGGGCAGTTCTCGAGAGAGTTCTCTCAGCCCCACCTACCTCACAGGGTGTCTGTTGTGGGGAGGGAGAGGGAAAGGAGATTGTAAACTGTTCTGAAACTCCTTTGGTTAGTATATAACTTACAAATCATATTCAGAAGACTAATTGGTCTGTAGTTCAATGGGTCATAGGGGCTACCCTTTTTAACTAAAGGATCAATTATAGCCAAGCCCCAGTCTTTAGGAATCGGAGTTGAAGCATCTATATAGGAGAAAGGATTTGCTAAGACTGGAGCCCACCAATCTATGTGCGATTTTAAAAGCTCAGCAACTATAAAGTCACCTCCTAGGGCTTTTCCAGATTTCAATTGTGATATTAACAAGGTAGTTTCAAATACAGAGACTGGAGGCCATTGTGTGGACTGATCTAGAAGAATATCAGGAGGCGCAAGATACTGCTGATCCCAAAATAAACTGTTATAATCAATGCTCCCTCTAAGCTGTGGAATCCTGTGAGCAAAAATTCTACTTTGTGAGCTGCCAGCATAAGTTCTGAGCAGGTAATTTGGCTACCGCATAAATTAGTTTGCTCTGGAGCCATCCTTCCTGAGCTAAGACAAAAATGTGTGAGCCGGAGGGTAAAAAACTGTGAGCTAGCTCATACTAACTCGGCTTAGAGGGAACACTGGTTATAATGCTCTCCTCATGCACCTGCAATCTTTGGTTAGTGAAGGGCGGGGTATAAATCCAATCTTCTTCTTCTACAGTGCCCTATGGCACAGAGTCCACCTGGCAAATCATCCCTTTTCTCCAGGGAAACTGATCTCTGCAGTCTGGAGATGAGTTATAGTTCCAGGGGATCCCCAGGCAGGGGCGGATGAAGGCTCACTTGTGCCCTCAGCACTGACCAATCTTGGTGCCCCCCTTCTTTCCACACTGACCCCGTCCCTTTTAGTTGTTGTTGACCTGTCTGTCCAGATATACAATGCAGGTTGCAGCAATACAAAAATGTATTCATAGGATAACACAATGTACTGTACAAACTAAGCTTTTCACCCTTTCCCCAACTTTGGCCGTGGTGCCCTAAGCAGGTGCTTAGTCTGCTTAAGGGTTAGTCCTCCCCGTTCCCAGGTCCCGCCTGGAGGGCGGCCTCCCTATTGAACCTCTCTACACACACGCGCGGGAGAAAGACATGCACTATTCCTTTCGGCCTCTGGGTGGCAGCC